AAAATTGGAAATCAACGAATCGAAAAACTGAAAAATCGAAAGATTAAAAATTAAGAAATTTAAAAACCGAAAAAACGAATTATGTGTTGTAAAATCCCAATACTGAAAATTAAAGAAATCAGAAAATCGAATAATTGGAGATCCAAAATTTGCAAAATTGTAAAATTTAAAAATTGGAAAATGGAGGCATTGAAAAATCAAAGATTGACCATTTGAAAAATTCAATAAAAATAGTATAAAAGCGGAATGAACGTCGAAAAAATAAAGGAATTAAAAAAACAAAAATTGTGAAAAAAAACCGAGAAAATAAAAATAAAAAAATCGCGAAATTTTTGGGTTTTCAATTTTTCGATTTTTCAATTTTAGATTGATTTCATCATTTTTCAATTTTTTATTTCTTTATAATTTCTTCAGTTTTTATATTTTGCACCTTTTGGATGTTTCAGTTTTTAGATTTTGCAATTTTTTGATTTTTCGTTTTTCCAATTTTAGCTTTCTTAATTTCATGATTTTTCAGTTTTTCGATTTTTCTAGTTTTCGTTTTAAATATGTAATAATAATAATAATTTTTAGAATATTTCACATTTTCAATCCTACGATTTTAGAATTTTTTCATTTTCCAATCATTCGATTTTACAACTTTTTCGACTTTTTAATTTTTCAATTTTTTGGTTCTTTAATCTTTCATTTCTTCAAATTTTCAATTTGCAATTTTTCAATTTGCAATTTTACTAGTTCTCAATTTTTCAATGTTTTGATTTTATTATTTTTCTTTTTTTCAATGTGAAACTTTTCAGTTTTTCAATTTTTGAATTTTTAATTTTTTCTATTTTTCGATTTGGTTTTTTATTTTCTCTATTTTTTCAATTTTTCGGTTTTTCAGTGTTCTGATTTTATAATTTTATATTTTATTGTAAACTTTTTCAATTTTTGGATTTTTCATCTTTTCAGTTTGCAATTTTTCGGTTTTCATTTTTTTCGATTTTTCAGCTCTAAAATTTTTATTTCGTTCTTTTAACTTTAGATTTTTCAGTGTTCGGTTTCTTCAATTTTAGATTTCTAATTTTTGAACTTTTCATTGTAAATACTCTATGTAATAATAATTATATTTTTAAAATTTTTCATTTTTTCAATTTAGGTTTTTCCGATTTTTAATTTTTACTTCCCGAGCGTAAGCAAAGGAAGTATTGTAATCGAGTCCGTCGGCCGACTCTCTACTTTTACGTTTTCTCGATCTTTCATGACCCCTAGAAGACGAAGAAATAGGTCTCCCATTTCCGTCTGTCTGTCCGTCTGTCCGTCTGTCCGTCTGTCCGTCTGTCCGTCTGTCCGTCTGTCCGTCTGTCCGTCTGTCCGTCTGTTGTCACGGATTTTTATTAGACAGATAATCTCCGAAAGTACTCGACCGATTGTTGTGAAATTTTGTACTTATATTAAGAATATCATGTAGATGGTAAAACGCTAACCAAAATTTGTCGAATCATCCCCACCACTAAAGCGATGACGTCACTTCAAAATTGTACATAGTAAATGGGTTTTCAATTGTATAAAATAACATAGTCCTACACATGTAGTTTACAACTCTGAATCGACTTTTCACCCGAAACGTCCAGATTTTTGGAAAAAAAATCAAAATTATAAAACAACATTTTGAAATTTAATTTTTAATCTGCTAACCAGAATGCTTTGAAATGTTGCAGATGTTTTAAGGCTATAAAGAGCATCATAAATCTTTAGTCAAAAAATATTTGCTTATCCCCTCCAAAAACTTGATGACGTCAGCTCAAAAGTTTGTGGAATAAATCATATCTAAAATGTACAAAATATGATGAGTCTGTACTTGTGAACTATCACTCCATTAATATTTTTTGGATTTGCATATACAGGGTGACTCAAAAAAATTAATGAATGCGTAAATATATTTTATTGATTTAATCAGGAACTACAAAACCGAATGCTCTGAAATCTTGCAGATGTTTTAAGGTCATAAAGAGCATAATAAATGTTTAGTCAAAATATATTTGCTTATCCCCTCCAAAAACTTGATGACGTCAGCTCGAAAGTTTGCCGAATAAATCATATCTAAAATGTACAAAATATGATGAGCCTGTACTTGTCATTTATCACTCCATTCATATTTTTTGGATTTGCATATACAGAGTGACTCAAAAAAATTAATGAATGCGTAAATTTATTTTATTGATTTAATCAGGAACTACAAAACCGAATGCTTTGAAATCTTGCAGATGTTTTAAGGTTATAAAGAGCATAATAAATTTTTAGTCAAAATATATTTGGTTATCTTCTACAAAAAACTGATGACGTCAGCTCAAAAGTTTTCCGAATAAATAGTATCTAAAATGTACAAAATATGATGAGTCTGTACTTGTGATTTATCATTCCATTCATATTTTTGGATTTGCATATGCAGGGTGACTCAAAAAAATTAATGAAGGCGTGAATTTATTTTATCGATTTAATCAGGAATTACAAAACCGAATGCTTTGAAATCTTGGGAATATTTTAAAGTTATTATAAGCATGGTAAACTTTTGTTCAAAATGTATTTGTTCATCCCTCCTAAAAAAATTGATGACGTCACCCTTAAATTTTGCTGAATAAATCCTATCTAAAATGCAAAAAATATGATGAGTTTGTACTTGTGATTTATCATTCCATTCATATTTCTTAGATTTTCTTAAGAGGTGGTTCAAAAAAATTAATGAAGTCAATTTATTTTATTGATTAAATTAAAGGCAACACTTATTATTAGTATTACACCCCAACCAACCCAATTTGGTAGACACAAAATTTGTTAAAGGAAAAACTCGGTTGAAACATAAGGGTAGCACGCTTATTTACATCGACTTTAACACTACAGACCTGCATTTGTTTTATGCGTTCACTTGATTCCGCGAATGTGAAATAGACATGTTTATAATCAACCAATTGTGAATTTCACCGTCAAGAATTAAAATAAAACCCAATGTTTTATATAATAAGCGGAAGTCGAAGCAATAAAACCGACGGTCGTTTTGTTTACAGTTTCTGTGTTTGGCTCTCACGTATGCTGTTACGCCTGTCATCTTAAATTAACAATGTTTATACATACACGATTTTCAGTTGCCTCTGATACGTGAGTAAATTGTTTCGTTATTTTATTGATTATTACAAATCAATATTCAAACGACCCAATTCATTTTCCCGAAAATTTGAGAATATAATAATTTTATTCTTAGTATTACACTACATCTATCCCAACTGATATACGTGTCCTTGCAAAAATGTTGATGACGTCATCGCAATTTTTTTTTAAATTCCCACTACAAAAATGTAATGAGAAAAAAAACACAATAGACATGCAGTCGTCAAGTTTCCGACAGCGAGGGAAGTACTGTCTAAACTCTTTAGACCAATTTTTCAATTTGTCAATGTTTCATTTTTACTTCCCGAGCGTAAGCAAAGGAAGTATTGTAATCGAGTTCGTTGACCGACTCTCTACTTTTACATTTTCTCGACCTTTCATGACCCCTAGAGTACCAAGAAATAGGTCTCCCGTTTCCGTCTGCCTGTCTGTCTGTCTGTCCGTCTGTTTGCCGTCCCGGATTTTTATTAGACAGATAATCTCCGAAAGAACTGGGCCAATTGTTGTCAAATTTTGTATTTATATTAAGAATGTCATGAAAAAGGTAAAACGCTAACCAAAATTTATCTAATCATCCCCACCAATAATGTAATGACGTCACTTCAAAATTGTACATAGTAAATGGGTTTTAAATTGTATAAAATAACATAGTCCTACATATGCAATTTATGATTCCATGTTGAGTTTTTACCTCAAATGTCCAGATTTTTGGAAACAGAATGAAATTAATAACACATTTTGCAATTTAATTTTGAATCTACCGAACCTGACTTGACATGACCTGACTTGACATGACCTGACTTGACATGAACTGACTCGACATGAACTGACCTGACATGACTTGATCTGACCTGACGCAATCTGATTTGACCTCATTGTCTCAAATAAACAAAGTTTAAACATTTCTGTGAATAAATAAAAACCAAAATTTAATTATAATTTCTCTTTTTGCTACAAAAAATTCATGCCGGGCTATTTTACGGGGCTGTTTTGTCAAAAACAAAACACTCTGTATATTGGAAAATAATTTGTATATACTACTGCTCCACGAATCGGACAACTTTTATTCTTTTAACTTTTTTTTTCTATCTCCAATAAATAATAATTAATTAATACGATATCGAGGAGCGTGACTCACGTGTATACGTACGGATTTATTTTATTTTATAAACGAAACGTCTAACTTATATTTAAATTTCGGGAACCTTACATATATTATGATTAATGTTACTTACATTAAGCAAATTATTAAATAAGTGTTTTGGAAAATTTCTCTGAAGTGCGGGCGTGAAACAAATTAATGATTTTGTACGTTTTTTTAGAATGTTTTTAAAAACTCTGTTTCTTCATTTTACTCTAACGTAAGCATGTTTCAACAGGTTGCTTATCCACAATGACTTTCCCAAAATTTCTGTACAAAATTAAAGAAACTTAATAAAACAATACGAAATTTGAGACAATTAAGACTCTGCTTAAGGGTGTTACCACCTAAAAGACACATGTTCTACTTTTACAACATAAATAAATTCTTTTGCCATTTTCAGCAACACACCATTTGCAGCTTAGTTGCAGTGCATTGACACACTTTCAGCGACACACATGAACTTATAAGTTATAAGTAAACCCCTTAAGCCTTATCCCGCTATTTCCAAAACTAATCACGCTCATCCCGTTCCCCGCAAATCCCGATCATTCCCATCGACATTCACCTTCACGCAATCACCCAATACGCATAATGCACGGATTAGCCCGGATTGATTAGATTTTTCAGGAATTTCAGTACGAATTTTGCAAAGTCGCACGCCTGCGCGCCGCTCTTAACCGCCGATAACTCGCAGTTTCCCATCATTCGAAAACCGTGCGCGGCGCAGTTCGTCCACCCGCGGAGCGCGAAGTTGCGATGGCGAAACCGCGACTTTTAACGCACTGTTGAAAAGTCACGAAACTTTCACTATGACCGCTTGAACTCCGCCAAAATGAACGACACGTTAAACGAGACTTACACGAACGTAACTTTACGGCCTGGACCGAATGTGACTTACTGTGATCTGAAGGACGTGCGGAAGGCCTTCGCCGTGTACTACCCCTATCTGAGCCTGGTGATATGCATCTTCGGCTCGGTGACCAATGTGCTGAATATTTGCGTGCTCACCAGCAAGCAGATGCGGTGTCCCACGAACCTCATCCTCACGGCGCTGGCCTTCGCCAATCTCCTGGTGATGGTGGAGTACATCCCGTTTGTGTTTTTGTACAACGAGAACAAGGCCTTTGCGTCCCATTTCACGTACAGTTTGGCCGTCTTCATCAGCTTTCATGCCGTCTTCACGCAGGCTTTTCACTTCATCTCGTGCTGCTTGACGGTTATCCTCGCCATCTGGCAGTATATCGCTGTCAAGTTCCCCCAGAATAACAACAAGTGGTGCAGCAACAACCGCACCAAGATCACCATCCTGCTGACCTACGTGTTGTGCTCCATCGTGTGCGTCCCGCTGAACTTGTCCCTGACCATCAGCGGCAAGGCCGTCAATGTGGACGACAATGGCAAGCTCAGCAAGAACAAGTCGATGCCCAACGTTACCATCTACGTCACCAGGTGACCATAATAATAGTTTTATTCCATTTCGCATAACAACAGAGAAAATAGACTATTATGATGTTTAAGAAAGAGTAGTCAAACTCCACGAGGAATTCTTCTGAAGTACAAGTGATCTTTTCAACAATAACCGCTTAATCTTGAATTTAAAGATATTTATATTTAGCACGTGGGACCAATGTCATGAAAACCAGGCCAAAATTCTAAAAATAACAAAAATAAGGTAAACGAGACTAAACACTCACTTGAAGAAAATGTATTAAACTTAAAAAAATTGGTCTAAAGAGTTTAGACAGTACTTCCCTCGCTGTCGGAAACTTGACGACTGCATGCCTATTGTGTTTTTTTTCTCATTACATTTTTGTAGTGGGAATTTAAAAAAAAATTGCGATGACGTCATCAACATTTTTGCAAGGACACGTATATCAGTTGGGATAGATGTAGTGTAATACTAAGAATAAAATTATTATATTCTCAAATTTTCGGGAAAATGAATTGGGTCGTTTGAATATTGATTTGTAATAATCAATAAAATAACGAAACAATTTACTCACGTATACCTACGTATCAGAGGCAACTGAAAATCGTGTATGTATAAACATTGTTAATTTAAGATGACAGGCGTAACAGCATACGTGAGAGCCAAACACAGAAACTGTAAACAAAACGACCGTCGGTTTTATTGCTTCGACTTCCGCTTATTATATAAAACATTGGGTTTTATTTTAATTCTTGACGGTGAAATTCACAATTGGTTGATTATAAACATGTCTATTTCACATTCGCGGAATCAAGTGAACGCATAAAACAAATGCAGGTCTGTAATGTTAAGGTCGATGTAAATAAGCGTGCTACCCTTATGTTTCAACGGAGTTTTTCCTTTAACAAATTTTGTGTCTACCAAATTGGGTTGGTTGGGGTGTAATACTAATAATAAGTGTTGCCTTTAATTTAATCAATAAAATAAATTGACTTCATTAATTTTTTTGAACCACCTCTTAAGAAAATCTAAAAAATATGAATGGAATGATAAATCACAAGTACAAACTCATCGTATTTTTTGCATTTTAGATAGGATTTATTCAGCAAAATTTAAGGGTGACGTCATCAATTTTTTTAGGAGGGATGAACAAATACATTTTGAACAAAAGTTTACCATGCTTATAATAACTTTAAAATATTCCCAAGATTTCAAAGCATTCGGTTTTGTAATTCCTGATTAAATCGATAAAATAAATTCACGCCTTCATTAATTTTTTTGAGTCACCCTGCATATGCAAATCCAAAAATATGAATGGAATGATAAATCACAAGTACAGACTCATCATATTTTGTACATTTTAGATACGATTTATTCGGAAAACTTTTGAGCTGACGTCATCAGTTTTTTCTAGAAGATAACCAAATATATTTTGACTAAAAATTTATTATGCTCTTTATAACCTTAAAACATCTGCAAGATTTCAAAGCATTCGGTTTTGTAGTTCCTGATTAAATCAATAAAATAAATTTACGCATTCATTAATTTTTTTGAGTCACTCTGTATATGCAAATCCAAAAAATATGAATGGAGTGATAAATGACAAGTACAGGCTCATCATATTTTGTACATTTTAGATATGATTTATTCGGCAAACTTTCGAGCTGACGTCATCAAGTTTTTGGAGGGGATAAGCAAATATATTTTGACTAAACATTTATTATGCTCTTTATGACCTTAAAACATCTGCAAGATTTCAGAGCATTCGGTTTTGTAGTTCCTGATTAAATCAATAAAATATATTTACGCATTCATTAATTTTTTTGAGTCACCCTGTATATGCAAATCCAAAAAATATGAATGGAGTGATAGTTCACAAGTACAGACTCATCATATTTTGTACATTTTAGATATGATTTATTCCACAAACTTTTGAGCTGACGTCATCAAGTTTTTGGAGGGGATAAGCAAATATTTTTTGACTAAAGATTTATGATGCTCTTTATAGCCTTAAAACATCTGCAACATTTCAAAGCATTCTGGTTAGCAGATTAAAAATTAAATTTCAAAATGTTGTTTTATAATTTTGATTTTTTTTCCAAAAATCTGGACGTTTCGGGTGAAAAGTCGATTCAGAGTTGTAAACTACATGTGTAGGACTATGTTATTTTATACAATTGAAAACCCATTTACTATGTACAATTTTGAAGTGACGTCATCGCTTTAGTGGTGGGGATGATTCGACAAATTTTGGTTAGCGTTTTACCATCTACATGATATTCTTAATATAAGTACAAAATTTCACAACAATCGGTCGAGTACTTTCGGAGATTATCTGTCTAATAAAAATCCGTGACAACAGACGGACAGACGGACAGACGGACGGACAGACGGACAGACGGACAGACGGACAGACGGACAGACGGACAGACGGACAGACGGACAGACAGACGGAAATGGGAGACCTATTTCTTCGTCTTCTAGGGGTCATGAAAGATCGAGAAAACGTAAAAGTAGAGAGTCGGCCGACGGACTCGATTACAATACTTCCTTTGCTTACGCTCGGGAAGTAAAAAAAGAATCAATTGTCGTGTCTTCTGATCTGGATAGAATTGTTCCTATAATTCTTTCCCCCTTCATTTGATGGTTCTAAAATCTAAAACTTCCTAAAAAAGACTTCTTTCCATTGCCATTTATTATATTTCTTAAAAAAATACATACATTTTAACTCAATTTATTTTCCAACGTTTCGACCATTAATTTTTTTCTTCTTATTGCACTCAGACTCACCGGGCCGAGATGCTAGTAGCTTGAATGATTGAACGACAACAAAAAATTAATGTTCGAAACGTTGGAAAATAAATTGAGTTAAAATGCCTAATGTTTTTTTTTAAGAAATCTTACATAGCATAAATGTATTTACTGTTTATTGCATTTACGAGTTAATGAATCTCGAAAAGGTAAACATACAAGTTACTGACATTTGTTTATTTTGTGCATTAGAAAGCCATTTATGAGAAACGTAAACAAAAATAATACCAGGATTCTAAAATTAACGAAATAAAAAACGACAGAACGTGAGCAAAATTCTCCTTTTAATTGTTGTCGTTTTTTTTATTATTCATTTTTCAAGTCTACTTAATTTTTTAAGTAATTTTGTTAATGTCTCCTAAATCACGTCATCAATTTTTTAACGGAAACGAGTAAATAAACTTTCGTTAATTTCTTGTAATCAATAAATCATATATTCTATAGAGTTTCTTGAATAAATTGTGAATTTTGATTGTGCAAACGTTACTTTTTAGGATTATCCTTTACATTAAAATTAAAATAGGAGTCGATTATTATTAAACCCAAAATTCTGTATAATGGTCCCGTAGTTTGTTGTATTGATCAATGTAAGACTTATAGCAATACCGGAGGTTTGTTTGTCATTTGTTAAAAAAGCGAAAATTTTAAACGTTTAAATTAAAAAAAAATCGGGGAAAAATTTACTTTTCAATAAAATATGTAAATATACTCGATTCTGCCTTCGGTATCAAAAATATTATAATATTTTTGTTTACTAGCCCTATGACCTGATTTTCGCACCAGATACCTCGATCTCTTTAGTATTCAGAATGAAAAAAAGAAGGTATCTATCGTTCCTAATGAGAAAACAGTTTCTTTTCCGAAAAGGTTCAAGAATGTGCATTCCGATTTTGAGCTTTCGATTCCTCGAACCTTTCTAGCCCTAGGACCTTATTGTCGTGCTGGATACTCGATCCGTTTAGTTTTTAGAAGAATATTGTTACTTTGAACGGGTACTTAAAATCCGCGTGGGTAAAACTCAACAATTTATTTCTCAAATTTACACAACTGATTACACAGCGAAAATGTACAAAATAATTCCGGCGCAACTTGACTGGCTTCTTTCAACAATCGCTTAACTCTATTTAAAGCCATACATTCCTCTGGATGGATCGCGAACGCCGCTTCGAGGTTTTTCTGGATCTCGCAATCGAGACTTCCGGTAACTCGCTCCAGGCATGTCTTTATGCAAACGCCGCACATACTAGAAAAGCCTCGATAAACCCATAAGCGTCGTACCGGGCTGGCGTATGGATTTATTTAGTAACAATATAGTATTTTGAATATACTTAGGACTGTGTCAATTTTAAAAAAACAATTTAATGAATTCTGTCTTCAGTATCAAAAGTATTAAAGTATATTTATTTACACTTACTGTTGACTAAAAACAAATCCATTGCTTGACCACTGATTTTTTTCTGATTTAAAGCTGAAATTTTAGTTGTGTGGTGAATGGTTTTCGAAATATTCGGGTTTAAAGTTAATTTTTGAAAATCTCAAAATTTGTCACACTAGTATTATAGCTAGTAGAACTTCTGAGGGTCGAAATTTACCAATTCAGGCAGATGAAAAAGGTGTTGTTGGACCGAGGTTAGAGAGGAATATCGAAAATTGCCAGGAATTTTAGCATTTTTGTTAAGGACTTATTTATATTTATTCTGGAAAAAGTAAATAACCAAAAGTGATTAAAAAAATTGCATTTATGGGGGGGCAATACGAAAAATCGCAGTTCAAATTAAAATTTTTCAAATATTTCAAAATTTGTCACTTTTCATTTTGTCGATTCGGGAAAAATAGTAGGTATTTTCGAAGAAATAAATCCATAGAAAAGTTCTGAAAATTTGAAATGACAAAAGAAATTTTTTCAATAATTTGCGGCGGTGTTCTAGAAAAATTCAAAATTGTCATGGGAGAAGGTGAAAAATGTAATTTTTGGCGAAGTTGTCTAAAAATCCACCAAAAATTTTAAGCGATAGATTTTGAACAACTGAATCGAAAAACATCAAGTGTTGATAGTCTCGGACCAAGATTAAAGGCGAATATCCAAAATCCCAGAGAAATCGAGAATAAGAAAAAATAATTCAAAGACGATACCATGACAGAAATATTTGGGGTCAAAATTGAGTTTAAATATTTCACTTGGCGATTCTGGAAAATTATACGAATTTTTGAAAAAATGAAGCCGTAAAAAACTTCTGGAGGTTGAAATCAACAAAAGATTCTTTCTGTAAATTTGCTCTAGAAAAGGTCAAAATTTTTGTAGGGGAAGGTACTGAAAAATTTCACTTTTGGCGAAGTAATTGCGGGTTCCTGACCAAGATTACAGGGAAACATCGAAAATCCCACAGAAATCGTAGCATTTATATTAAGGACTTACTTAACTAGTTGCACTCTGGAAAAACTTTCCAAAACTAAAAAGTCCTGAACAGATCCAGACCTACCAAATTTTGTGGACTTTTTTGAAAAATTTTCAATTGGAATAGTTTTGAAAAACATGCAAATTAAAAATCTGAAAAATGTGTCAAGTTTTTTGTAATATTGCAATCCGTCAGAGAAAATAGTGAACTGAAGAATATGAAAATTTTTTAATAGATGATTCTGGAAAAACGGTTGGAGTTATAGAAGAAACGAACCCGAAAGTGACCTCTGCAGTTCGAAATCTGGGAGAAAATATTTTTAGTTAAGTTTTGAAAATGGTCGAAAATGGGCCGAAAAATATGACTTTTTTGGAGTTTGGTTTTTTATTATCTTGGTTTTTTCCATTATACCAATTTTTAACATTTCGATTTTATATATTTTTTTAAATTTTTTAGTTTTTCGATTCTCTATCTTTTGGATTTTGTAAATTTTAGATTTTGCAATTTTTCGATTTGCAGTTTTACGAGTTTACAAATTCTAATTTTTCAATTTGCAGTTTTTCGTTTCGGTTTTTTATTTTCTTTATTTTTTCAATTATTCACTTTTTCCGTATTCTAATTCTATACTTTTTCTTTTTCCAGTATGAATTTTTTTCAATTTTTGAGTGTCTCAATTTTTCGATTTGTAATATTTCGGTTTTTAGTTCTTGTTTTTCTTCATGATTTTTCAGGTTTTCGTTGCTTCAGTTTTTGATTTACGATAATTCTAGTTTTCACTTTAAATAGGTACTAATAATAATTTTAAAATGTTTTCATTTATTTAATTTTTCAATTTTTCGATTCTTCAGTTATTTATTTCTCCAAATTTTGATTTTCAATTTTTCGTGTCGGTTTTTAGTTTTTTTATTTTTACAATTCTTCCATTTTTCTATGTTGCAATTTTATAATTTTTTGTTCATTTTTAATTTTTTCAATTTTTCGTTTCTTTCAGCTCTTCGAGTTTTCATTTTAAAATTTTTCAGTTTTTTGATTTTCCAACTTTTGGATGTTTGAGATTTTTGATGTTGCAATTTTTCGGTTTGCAGTTCCAGGAGTTTTCAATTTTTCATTTCTTCAATTCTTCGATCTGCTCTTTTCCGTTTGGGTTTTGTATTTCCTCTATTTTTCAATTTTTCGGTTTTCCAATGTTCTGATTTTATAATTTGCAAAATTGCAAAACTGGAAAATTTAAAAATTGGAAAATCGAGGAATTGAAAATGATTAAACATTTGAAAAATTCAACAAAAAAATAAAATCGAGAGAAACGTTGAAAATAAAATTTAAAAAAATTTGGAAAAATGTTACTTTTGAAAAAGTTGTCTAAAAATCTTCAAAAAATTCTAGAATGTAGATCTCGACGTGTTGATTCCAAAAATGTAGCATGTTAATGGTGATGGAGTAGTATTTTCAAAATATTCGGTTTTAAAATGATTTTTTTTAATTCCAAAAATTGCAAATTTTCAAAAAGTGACTCTGGAAAAACGGTTGTAGTTATCGAAAAAACGAGCCCGGAAGTAACTTCTCCGGCTCGAAATGTACAAGAAAATGTGTTTAGTTAAGTTTCAAAAATGGTCGAAAATGGGCTGAAATTTAAACAAAAATAGGTGTAAAATGTTTTCTGTTCTTAAACTGCACTTTTGCTATTTATTAAATTGTGACATACTCTGATTGGTGAGAAAAAATATTGGCTGAAAATTGTGAGCACTGTTTATTTTTGGATATTAGAACTAAAAAAAATGCGGAGTTAGAGCAAATCAGTTAAAAATAGAATAATTTTTTTCTCAGAAGAACATAACTTTACAAAATTAAGAATCTCGTCAACAGATATAGAGCTACTAAATTTTGTGACAATTTAAAAGTGAAATAAAATAAAGCCAAAGATTGGACCCCGATCATACCCGCCCCGATCTCAATTCTTAATTGTAATGAATGTTTCATTCGTTGCCAGATCGAGGGGCGGGGCTTAATTGCAAGATACATATTTGTCTACAAGAATTTAGCATTTAAACATGTTTTAAGCTTCTAGTTCTGCAAAGACGACTACGCATATTAAGAAAAAAGGCAAAATATATGCCCCGCCCACCCACCCTGTCTCAATTGTGATGACTTTTTTTATCGTCGCCACCCAAAGGAAAGAAATTTAATTGCAAAATCGTCATTATTTCTTATTTATATTTTAAACGTGTTTTGAGTTTCTAAGAATAAAAAAATCTTCACAATTGAGATAAAGTGGGTGGGCGGGGTTTATATTTTGTTTTTTCTCTTAATATACACAGTATTCTGTGAACAACATGATACTCAAAAACACGTTTTTAATTTCTTGTAAAGAAGTAAGTCTTTTGCAGTTAATCTCCGCCTCGTTGGTTCACGACGCATAAAAAAAATCATCACAATTGAGATAGGGCGGGTGGGCGGGGCTTATATTTTGCCTTTTTTTTTTCTTAATATACATAGCCATCTTTTCACAACATGAAACTTAAAATATCTTTAACATGGAAAATTTGTATAAGGAAATATTGATTTTGTAATTACGCTCCGCCCCATAATTGTAAAATCCATATTTCCTTGCAAAAATGTACGACGATGTATATAGGAAAAAAAGGCAAAATATAAGCCCCGTCCACCCGCCCTATCTCATTCTGATGATTTTTTTTATTCGTCTTGAGCCAAGGGGGCAGAAGTTAACTGCAAAATTCTTTTTTCTCAAAAATATGTTTTTGAGTATCGGGTTGTCCAAAGAGTACTATGTATATCAAAAAAAGCCAAAGATTAGACCCCAAGGGGCGGGGCTTAATTGCAAAATCCATATTTGTCGACAGGAATTTACCATTTAAATATGTTTTAAGTTTCTAGTCCTGAAAAGACGACTACGTGTATTAAGAAAAAGCCAAAATAAAAATATAAAACTTTTCTGATTTGAAAGTCCCTCAGAGAAACTATTGGACTAACGAATAACAAAATTTTTTACTTTTGTTTTTGTAAACAGAAAAAATCGAAAATTTTGCAGTTTTTGAAAACGCTGAAATAAACAAGTAGATCAAAATTTATAAAATTTCATTCGGCGATTTAAAAAAAAATGGTAAAAAGAAATGAAGTCATAAGAATCTTCCAGAGGTAAAAATAGAAAGTCAAAATTCTCATTGGAGAAAATGCTAAAAAACTGAATTTCTTTTCGAAATTTCTTAAAAATCCACCAAAAATTCTGAGCGATAGATTTTGACGCGATGAATCGAAAAACATTGAATGTTGATAGTCCTGGACCAAGATTCGGGATGAGGATCGAAAATTTCGGAGCAATCGTAGCATTTTTGTTAAGGATTTAGTTAACCCTATTCCGGAAAAACCGGCTGTCTTAAAATCATTAAAAAAATTATGTTTACGCAGAAGTGATACATCTATACAGAAAAATAATCTATAGGAATTTTGTGAACGCCGAAATGAACAAAAGACATTTTTTGGTTATTTGCGCTGTGTTATTATTTTTATTATTTCTGTTTTTCTAATATTTTAAAAATAAATGTGAAAAACTCTACAAGAATTCTAAAAAATACATAGGTTGTCAAAACACATTTACAGGATATCATTTGTTTCTTACACTGTTACTGGTATTATTTATCTAAGTATATTTGTTTTAATGTATACTTAACGAGCTTTACATTTTTAATGTTGAAAAGGTACGTGGACGACAACTACCAGCACGTGAGCTCCTACGTCTACGCCATCGCCATCAAGCTCATCCCCAGCGTGCTGCTCACCGTGCTCACCACCCTGCTCATCATCGAGCTGCTCCACGCCAAGGAGCGCCGCAAGAACCTGATGAACCCCAAGAAGGACGAGAACGCGAAGATGCGCAAGCCGAGCCAGAGGTTCCTGGACAAGGAGAAGCAGACTGATCGCACCACGAGGATGCTGGTGGCGGTGCTGCTGCTCTTCCTCATGGTGGAGTTTCCTCAAGCCATTTTTGGAATGTTCAATGTCATTATCGGGCAAACTTTCGAACTGCAGTGTTACCAGCCGTTGGGTAAGTTTCGGGGTTGGCGAGCCTGGGCGCTTAATAAAGTCGGTTTATGATGTGGTAATTTTGCAAAATGTGTGTCGATAAACTTGAGAGGTGATTAAAAGTTGTTTGAACTGGTATCAAAGCCGGCGGTGTGGTGTGGTTCGATGTAACGAATTAGAGCGGAGGTCGTAAAGTGAATATCACGTTAAAAATTAAAGGTTGAAGAGATGTATTCTTAATTGTCGTTTTATATGTGGCCTGATTTTAATTAGAAAATATATTTTTGTTAAAAACTTTGCGCGATAAATGTTCAGAAAGTTTGTGTTTAGTAGTTTTCGTATTTGAACGCCAGAATTATAGCTGCTCTGGGACGCTAATTTAAAATACAAACAACTGCTAAGTTATTTACACTTAACTTCCTTGGCCTCTAACTTTGAGATGATGAAAAGCTGATTATAAATATCTCAACTGTGATTGTATTTTATGACACAAAAATTGGCCGAAGGTTGTATCGACAGAACTTCTCTCGCCCCTGAAGTGCAGCCAATCAAATCCGGCTTATTATTGTCATTTTTTAATAATAATAATAATTTATTATTCATATAAACATACACGTTTTCTGCATAAATCACACATACATACTATACATAATACAACAATAAATATAGAAATGACAATTTGAGAAAATATATTTTTTTGCGATTTTTGTTTACTGATAACCTCTATACAGTAACTTGGCTTGAATTTTTCAATTTCCATTTGTAATTTTTCGAGTTTTCAAGTTTAAATTTTTCAGTTTTTCATTTTCCAAATTTTGAATTTTCCAATTTTTAGGTTTTGTAATTTTTCTATTTGCAATTTCACGAGTTTTCATATTTTAATTTCCGTATTCTGACGCTATACTTTTCCTTTTTCCAGTATGAAATTTTTCAATTTTTCGATTTGGAGTTGTTCAGTTTTCAATTTTAGTTTTCCATATTCTGATTGTACAATTTTTTTCTTTTTCTTAATATGAAATTTTTCAATTCTTCGTTTCTTCAGTTTTTGATTTACAATTACATATTCTAGTTTTAGCTACTTACAATGATTTGAATTTTTTTTTCATTTATTCGATTTTCAATTTTTCGATTCTTCAGTTTTTCATTTCTTCAAATTTTCGATTTGCAATTTTTTGTTTCGGTTTTTCATTTTTTTTCATTTTAAAATTTTTCAGTGTTTTTATTTTCCAACTTTGGCTGTTCCAGTTTTTTCATTTTGCAATTTTTCGATTTGCAATTTCAGGAGTTTTCAATTTTTCATTTCTTCAATTTTTCGATTTTCTCTTTTCCGTTTCGGTTCTTTATTTTCTTTATTTTGTCAATTTTTCGGTTTTTCAATGCCCTGATTTTATGATTTGCAAAATTGCAAAATTGGAAAATAAAAAAATTGGAAAATCGAGGAATTGACAGAAACGTTAAGAAAATAGAAGCAATGAAAAAACGAAAAATTGTGAAGAAAAGTCGAGAAAATGACAATTAAAAAATTCACGAGTTTTCAGTTTTTCGATTTTTCAGTTTCTCATTTCTTCAATTTTTCGATTTGCTCTTTTCCGTTTCGGTTTATTATTTTCTCAATTTTTTTCAATTTTTCACTTTTGGTAATACTTTCCAATTTTTAAATTTGCAATTTTTCAGTTTTCAATTTTTGATGTACAATTTTCCTACTTTCCATTTTAAATATGCAATAATAATCAACGACTTGAAAAATTAAAGATTCGAAAAACTGAAAAATCGAGATTTTAAAAATTGAGAAACTTAAAAATCGAAAAAACGAATTGTATCTTGTAAAATCGAAACAATGAAAATTAAAGAAATAAGAAAATCGGATAATTGGAGTTCCAAAAATTTGCCAAATTTGAAAAATTTAAAATTGGGAAATCGAGGGATTGAAGAATCAAAAATTGACCATTTGAAAAATTCAATAAAAAAATATAAAATCGAAATGAATGTTGAAAAAAAAACGATAAATTGAGAAATAGAACCGAAAAATTGCAATTTTTTGGGTTTTAGTTTTTCGATTTTTAAAATTTAAAATTTTTCAGTTTCTCGATTTTTCAACTTTTCGTTTCTTCAATTGCAATTTTTGTACTTTTGCGTTTACATATTTAATAATAATTATAATTTTAAAATTTTTCGATTTTAATTTTTCTATTTGTCAGTATTTAATTTTTTAATTTGTCGATCTTTCAATGTTACAGTTTTTCAACTTTGTTATTTTGATGATACTATAATTTTTGAGTTTACAATTTTTGGATTTTCCAATTTATCGATTGAGTTTACAATTTTCGGATTTTCCAATAATTTTTCGATTCGATTCGTTTCTTTTGTTTTCAATTTCTCGATTCATTAATTTATTTTTATGTTTCTCGGTTTTTAGTTTTTAAATTTTTTCCGATTTTCCACTTTTTGGATTTTGCAACTTTTCGTTTTCCAATTTTTACGACTTTTGAATTTTTCAAATCGTAAAACTGAAAAATTTGAAATAAAAAATGGAAAAAATATAAAATGAAAATTTTGGATAAGCTAAAAATTGGAAATCAACGACTTGAAAATTTAAAAAAACGAAAGATTGAAAAATCGGAAGAATAAAAATTGAGAAAATTTAAAAATCGTGAAATTTCAGGAGTTTTCAGTTTTTCATTTCTTTCATTTTTCGATTTGCTCTTTTCCATTTCGGTTTTTTATTTTCCCTATTTCTTTGATTTTTGGTTTTTCAATGTTCTGATTTGATAATTTTTTCTCTTTTCAATGTAAAATGTTTTAATTTGGGATTGGAAATTTGAAAAATTGTATAAAAGGAAAATCATGAAATCATAAGGAACATTGAAAAAGCAAAAGAATTTAAAAAACGAAAAATTATGGAATACAATCAAAGGAATGAAAATTAAAAAATCGGGAAATTTCACAACTTCTGAGTTTTTCATTTCTTCAATTTTTTTTCTATTTTTTCAATTTTTCGGTTATTCAATGTTCTGATTTTATAATTTTTCCTATTTTCAGTGCAAAATTTTTCAATTGAAGATTGAAAATTTGAAAAATGGAATAAAAGAAAAATTATGATAAAATCGTAAGAAACATTGAAAAAACGTATTAGAAAAATAAAAATTGTGAAACAAAATTGAGAAATAGCAAATTGAAAAATCGGAAACTATGATACAAAATTGAGAAAATGTGAAATTAAATCAAGAATTTGAAACGATTGAAAATTTGAAAAATTGAATATAAGAAAAATTATAAAATCATATGGAAATGTAAAAACGAAAAATTGTGAAATAAAATCGAGAAAAAGAAAATTAAAAAATCAGGAAATTTCACGAGTTGTCAGTTTTCCGATTTTTCAATTTTTCATTTCTTCAATTTTTCGATTTGCTCTTTTCCGTTTCGGTTGTTTATTTTTCTGGTTTTTCAATTTTTCGGTTTGTCAGTGTTCTGATTTTATAATTTTTCCTTGTTTTCAATGTGAACATTTTCAATTTAGGATTGAAAATTTGAAAAATTGAAAAAAAAAATTATAAAATCGTAAGAAAGATTGAAAAAACAAAGGAATTCAAAAACCGAAAGATTGTGAAATAAGATCGAGAAAATTAAAATTAAAAATCGGTAAATTTCAGGAATTTTCAGTTTTATTTCTCAATTTTTGCGACTTCCTCTCTTCCATTTAGGTTTTTTCTTTTCTCTATTATTGCAGTTTTTTGTTTTTTCAATGTTTTGATTTTATAGTTTTTCCTCTTTTCAATTTAAGATTGAAAATTTGAAAAAATGAATAAAAGAAAAATTCTAACATCGTAAGAAACATTGGAAAAACAAAGGAAAATAAAAAACGAAAAGTCGTGAAATAAAATCGAGAAAATGAAAATTAAAAAATCGGGAAAGTTCACGAGTTTTCAGTTTTTCGATTTTTCAATATTTTATTTCTTCACTTTTTCGATTTGCTCTTTTTCGTTTCGGGTTTTTATTTTATCTGTTTTTTCAATTTTCCGGTTTGTCAATGTCCTGATTTTATAAATTTTCCTCTTTCGATGTAAAATTTTTCAATTTAAGATTGAAAATTTGAAAAATTGAATAAAAGAAAAATTATAAAATCGTAAGAAACATTGAAAAAACAAAGGAATTTAAAACACGAAAAACTATGATACAAAATTGAGAAAATGTGAAATAAAAATTAAGAACTTGAAACGATTGAAAACTTGAAAAAATGAATAAAAGAAAAATGATAAAATCGTAAGAAACATTGAAAAAACAAACGAAAATATAAACGAAAAATTGTGAAATAAAATCCAGAAAATGAAAACAAAAAAATTGGAAAATATCACGAGTTTTCAGTATTTCGATTTCTCAATTTTTCATTTCTTAAATTCATCTACTTATTCTTTCCCGTTTCGGTTTTCTATTTTTTCTATTTTTTCAATTTGTCGGATTTTCAATGGTCTGATTTTATAATTTTTTCTTTTTTCAGTGTGAAAATTTTCAATTTAATATTGAAAATTTGAAAATTTGAGTAAAAGAAAAATTATGCAACGTAAGAAATATTGGTAAAACAAAGGACTTTAAAAAACGAAAAACTGAAATAAAATCGAGAAAATAAAAATTAAATAATCGGGAAATTTCAGTTTTTCGAGTTTTCAATATTTTATTTCTTCAGTATTTCGATTTGCTCTTTTTCGTTTCGGTTTTTTTATCTTCTCTGTTTTTTCAATTTTTCGGTTTTTCTATGTCCTGATTTTAAAAATTTTCCGGTTTCGATATGAAATTTTTCAATTTAAGATTGAAAATTAGAAAAATTGAGTAAAAAAAAAATTATAAAACATAAGAAACCAAACGAAAATAAAAACGAAAAATTGTGAAATAAAATCCAGAACCTGAAAATAAAAAAAATGGAAAATTTCATGAGTTGGCAGTATTTCGATTTCTCAATTTTTCATTTCTTAAATTTTTCGACTTATTCTTTCCCGTTTCGGTTTTCTAGTTTCTCTATTTTTTCAA